TATATATATATATATATATATATATATATATATATATATATATGTCCCTGAGTCCATATTTCGGAAGAATCCAGAGCGGGTAAGAGAAACTTACAGAAATTTCACTAGTTAAGAGCTAATATTACAAATCTTATAAGATTTTGGTGCATTCAGATGCGTGTAGATACATATATTTCAGGATATACGAGGTTAAAATTATGTAGAATTTGTTTTAGATACATTATATTCAAGTGGTTTCACATGTATTTGAGATAGATAGACAACCCTCGCTAGCTTTCCTCACATGTCATTGGCTCGCCACTTTCCTATGTATGTGATATTTTAGATAGATGTAAGTCACACCAAATATATACAGATAAATATATCTAGTGTATATCCAGTGTGATTTGTATGCATTTGAGATATATGACTATCTTGCTCGCGTCTCTCCCTATTTTAGTAATCTGATAATAAAAATATATTTATTCAGTATATCTTTCTCAACATGTGATAAAAAACACTTAATTAATAGTAAGATATAAAATTAATTAAAAGTATATGTATAATTGATATATATGATATGAATATATATCTAATAAGATAGTTTTTTCATTTTATTTTTACCTCGTGAATATAAAAATATTGCTTTTGATAGATCCTTAGTTGTGTTAATACATGTCAATAAGTAGTGAAATTTGATATAACAAACTCTTAAGAGGCAAATTTATGATGTGAGATATGAATTTACATAAACTCAATAACTTTTATTTAATAAAAAAATTTAAAAAATCTTAAAATCTGAATATGTTTATTTTCGAAATTACTAAATAAAAATCAATTTGATAAAATCTTGTGTGATTTCATATGTAAATTTATCGTAACAATTAATTTTTTCATAATCCATCGAGGTATAAAATTTAAACTCTCCAATAATATAATTATTCCGAATCCTTCGAATATTAAACTTATAAACAATTTAAAGCATTTCCACTATTTCATGATAAATGAATGTATTTGAGAGTGTTCAAAGTTTATGAAAAAACATATATTTGTGCTGATATTTCTACGGATGTGGGATTATTTTATTTTAAGTTATTTTTTTATATATAACATAATCATATTTTTTGGAATAAATTTCTAAAAATCGTATTATATAAATTGAAATAAAGAGAACTAATTATCCATAAAGCTAAATTTATGAACATTACATTAATAATACAACTAACCTTGTCTAACTAGGCATTTGACATAATTAATGAATATATTATTGCTTTAAAATAATTAATTAGAAATGGTCTTGTTTTAAAAAAATCGAATATATTATTATTATTATTATTATTATTATTATTATTATTATTATTATTATTATTATTATCAATATTTATTTTAGTAACCATCCATATCAACCCTACGTGGAACATGTATAAAGAAGTAATTTTCGAGATAAAATTAATTATTTTATAGATTTGAGATAGAGTTCTGATCTTATAATTTTTTTTAAAAAATATTTTAAAGTAAGCTTATATCGGACGATATTAACTGAAACATACTAATTAAAATTATAAATATTTTTATAAAATTGACGTCTATTTAAAGAAGTTTATAATCAATATAATTCTTCCTTAAACTCTTTTACGATTGTACATTTAATATAAACGATATTATCCTTCTTCACTCACGCGTTATTTTATCGATAAACCTTAGAAAATAGCAACCCTCCACTTCTTTCCATGATTAATTCTCCAGCTATGAGATCTTTTATATTTCTCACAAGACCCCTCACTATTATCATATTTTTATATTTGCCCCTTGAAATTTCTAATATTTGCAATAATACTTTCTCTAAGTTGACCATTAATATTATATTATTATTGTTATTCCTTATTTGAGGTTTGTCATTTGTCAATGAGAAAAATTAATTAATCTACATAATTATTATAATATGATTGGATTTTATTGATAATATTAACGAGCTCACATAAATAGAATTTTTAAATTTGAAATTGTCATTGGGAATTAGACAAATTCAAATGATGATTTTAGTATTATTTTTTAGAAGTATGGAATATTGATGTAAGATAGAATTTTAATGAAAAAACATGATCATTAGTGTTTTATATATAATTAATTATTTTTAATTTATTTGATATTGAGACATTATGATTATTTTCATGTGTGATAGTACATTTTCTTAGTAGTTTTGATGTCATTGCAAAAAGGTGTTCAAAGTGTAATTATCATGTTATATTTTTATTTATGTACGATTATCTGATTCTTAATATTCACTTGCTCGAAAAAAATAGACTTACATTACGTAAAGATTACTAAGAATTGGTGATAAAATTATCTTTGTTTAAATATTTCTTAAAAAATTACGGCGTGTAGCTAAATAATTATATTTTAAAATATATATATTATTTCTTTTGACTTTTTTCAAAAATTATTACTATATTATACATATTCGATTCTTCTTATAAAAATTTCTTGCTTCATCCAGTAAATAAAAACACTATTTAATAAAAATTATTCTAATTTAGGACTTAAATTTAAGAAACTTTGCTTTAAAAAAATATATTTTATTTTCATAACTCGAATCTGATATCATCGATAATCAAAAGATTATAATTATTTCAATTTTCAACTTTTGAGAAAGCTAAAGTCGATAATGATATTTCTACAATGTCATTTGCTGGCCATTAGAGGTGCCAACTCAAGATTCCATTATGAAATATTTTCCTTTTGCTACTTTAATATTGTCTATAAATTATCTACTTTTTGGTATAATAATTGCAAATCAGTACCCAATATTATTTGATTTGATTTTACAAAAAAAATTTATATAATATAGTAATTAATGTTGGTCATATCATATTGGTAGATGCTACAATATCCAATAGCGAAATTAACGTGTGAGTTTTGATTATTAGTAGAAAGCGAGAATCAGGTAAGATGTTGTTTACGGTTGATCAGTATAAGTTTGTAAGTATAACTATATTTAGAAGAATTTAAAATCTTTTCTATTAATTGCATAGTCTAACACGCAAACGAAATTGACGTGTGGATTATTGTCAGTATTAAAGGCGAGAATCAGTTCAACACGCTAATGAAATTAACGTGAAGCGAGAATCAGTTTAACACGCCAACGAAAGTAACGTGAAGTGATAACCAGTCCAATGCACCAACGAAAATAACGTGAAGCGAGAATCAGTCCAATGAAAATCAACGTGAAGTGAGAATCAGTCCAACACGCAATGGAATTAACGTGAAGAGAGAATGAATCCAACACGCAACGAAATCAACGTAAAGTGAGAATCAGTCCAATGCACTAGCGAAATCAACGTGAAGAGAGAATCAGTCCAATCAAGCCAAAGAAATCACGTGAAGTGAGAATCAATCCAACACACAAACAAAATCAACGTGAAGCGAGAATCAGTCCAACAAGCTCCGAAATCAACGTGAAGTGAGAATCAGTCCAACACGCCAATGAAATCACGTGAAGCGAGAATCAGTAGAACAAGCCTCGAAATCAACGTGAATTGAGAACCAATCCAATACGCCAATAAAATCACGTGAAGTGAGAATCAGTCCAACACGCCAACGAAATCACGTGAAGTGAGAATCAGTCCAATACATATAAAACTCGATGCTTCGATTTTTTTTGTCATTAATAAAGGCGAGAATCACGCAAGACGTTATTAGAATTTAGCGTTACATCTTATATCCAATATCCTCATTTGTACAATGACCTTTTAAAATTTTCGATCAACAAACTAATTACTCAAAGCTTTGTAAATGAACAATTTTCAAGTTCTTTGAATAATAATTACTTCTTGCTTTTCTTATTACATTGTTGAACAATCACACTATAATATAGATTTCATCTATTTCATTACTTTCATATCGTCGATCTTTTATTTATTTCTTTCATCGTCATCGAAAGGTAAATAACGATAATATATAAGACAAATCGCGAATGTATCGGATAATATTTGGACCAGGAGTCTTAAATATTAAAAGCCCATTTCAGATGAGTGTAAATTTGGGCCTTGCAAAATTTCAAACCCATAAGCCCAACTTAGACATGGACTGGGCTTACCGATTACTTAGGCCCGTTATCTAAGTTGCATTTCTAGCCTTAATAATTAAAGGAAAAATTACATAAATCAATATATTTTAATAAATAATTATTGATTTTAGCGATATTTTTTGTTTATTACTATTTATAGTAATGC